AGACCAGTGCTTGCAAAAATACATGAGTAGACCAGTGCCTGCAAAAATAAATGGGTAGATCGGTACAGCTCTGCAAGCAGTTAAAAGCCTGGTAGACCAGTATCTCTGCTAAATCCTAAATAATTGTCACATGACCATCAAGCCACACCCACAAAATAAGCCACGCCCACAGAACCAGTAGTAAAAAAATTTAGAACCCACCCCTGGAAAATAGCTCTTCTGAGGCTCTGCCTCGGTGCTGCTTGTTCAGCATCAAGTGATGAGAAGAACAGAAAGAAGCTCCCAGCACAAATGTTTAGCCACACAGTGAATGCCCTAGCTACTGCAGGTTGCTATAGACTACCAGCAAGTTTCCATTGTCCAAAAATCAGACAATGAGAACCAACAGATTCCTCTTTTCTATCAAACATACATATTCTGCTAGGAATACATTAGAGAGAAACCATGCGAAATTCTTGGGCTTAAAGCATTACATGGATACCAATAAAGAAGAATATTTGTAGCTCAGGGTTGAAATGAGGGGGTCCTTGGTGCTCTCTGAGCTTGCTTGTTTCCTTGCAAATGTTTCATTACCTTAACTAGGTAACATCATCAGAACCGATGATGCTACCCAGTTAGAGTAATGAAACATTTGCAAGAAAACTAGCAAGCCCAGAGAGCACCAAGGACCCCTCATTACATGGATGTTAGACTGCGAACTGAGATTTGGTTTCAATAGGTTTGGCTTTAAGCTTCCTTGGCTATTGAAGGATAGAACAACTATATTTTGATAGAGCACCTTGACCTCTTTGCTTCGCCATCTTTAACTAGGCAACATGCATGAACAACGTATCTCCTTCCCACACAATGGTGTATGTTTGATTGGATATAATATAAGAGCCATAGCCCAGTTTTGTAAGCAGAAGTTCTACTTCCAGAGGTTCTACTCTCCCTTAACTTCCTGAACAAAAAACCAGTGTCTTCCCATCAAGGAATTCAGAAATCTCACTAGCAGGATTCATTAAGAGGAAAATAACAATGATTCAAACATTCCAGCTACTTTAGGGTGAGGATTAACAATAGAATCATAGGGTTGAAGGATCTTGGAGGTGTTGAGTTTAACCCTTAACCAGGGCAGGAATGCTCAGGCCATCCCAGTCAAATGCCGGTCCAACATGTGTTTAAAAGCTTCTAGTGATAGAATATCCACAATTCCAGAGGGCTGGCTATTCCACTGTTTAATAGCTTTCACAGTCAACATACGAGTCCTTATTTCCTGTTTAGATCTCTGTTTGTTGGCTGTCGTTTTATCTTCAGCACTATGGACAATAAATCGATATCCTCTTCCCTGTGACAGCTTTTCAAGTACTGTTAAAACTACTATAACGCCTCCAATTCCCCTTTTCTTCTTTAGGTTAGACATACCCAGTTACTTTAATAATGCCTCATAGAATTTATCCTCGGCCCCCCACCTTCTTCGTCATTCTTCTCTGCATTCTTTCCTCAGCATCCTTCTTGTTGTCAATGAAGATTTGATGCAGGATTTCTGACCAGTACCGCCTAAGCTATCCCTTCCCATGATCTTAACATAATGTTTATGTTGGTGCAGTCCAACACTGCATTGGTTTCTTTGTAAACTACAACACACTACTGGCTCACACTTAATTTGTGGTCTACTAGGAGGAGCCCAGATCCTCATCACAAGAATTACTGCTAAATTAGGTACTACCATATTATCCTAAATGGGTAAATCTGTTTTTTCCCCCTTAAATGCAGAATCTTGCCTTTCTCCCTAGTGAACAACATTTTTCTGGATAGGATTCAATGTTGAAATCTATCAAGATATATATTTTTTTTAACTTGGAGCCCATTTCCTGAAATATTAGCAATCTGTTGAAGTAGTAGGGTTGTAGTGGGATCATCCTTCCCACTTTATCAAAAAAAACTATCAAATGCATCACTGTAGTTGAGATATATTATATTCATAGCTTCCCTTTGGTCTACTAATATAGTTACTCTGTCATCAGTACAATTTTTCTCACATTTTAAGAAACCCACGCTGGCTTCTAGTAATCACTTTTTATCTTTCAAAATGCATGCAAGCCTCCTGCTTGAGATTCAGCAATTCAGCAGTTGAGCCTTCTCTCTGTTGTCCTTCAATATCTTGTCATCAAGTAGCAGACCAAACTTTTCCTTGGCTTTCCTCTTATTCTGCACATACCAAACAATCCCTTTCTGCTTTTTTTGGCTTCATTGCAAGCCTCGGTTTATTCTGAACGCTAGATTTGCTTACAGATTTGGGCTATTTGCTGATATTTTGCTTCCCTTAAATATCCCTTACCACTTTTTAAACATGTCCTTTTTGTTTTTTAGTTTATGAGAAGATTCTCTGCAGCCACACTGGCCTCATCAACCATCTCCCATCTTTCTGTTTGGACCTTAATGATCTTTTCCTTCCAGCCTTCCAACAGTGAATTGATTTTCACTTCAGGATATCGTTCTATGGAATCCTTCATATACTTTTCTCCTTAACTTAATAAACTCAGCTTTCATGAAATTACCTAGAAATTACCTCATCTAGAACACCAATCTCAGTAGTTACTCTCTTCTTCCATTCCCTCAACTTTTTTTTTCCTTACTAGAAAATATTAACTCTGGTTGCTTGAACCCTTATCCTTTCATCCAGCTAAAGCAGTACTTGATACTGGCAAAATGCTACTTGTCAGTGCAGACCAGGAATCTGTATTATTCTGCAGTATGAATGTTGGTTATACTGAGGCTGATGGGCTTGGCAGTAGCCAATGATACAGATAAAACTGGATTAGATAGGCCAGTGATGATATTATTATTATTATTATTATTATTATTATTATTATTATTATTATTATTATTATTATTATTGTTATTGTTGTTATTGTTGTTATTGTTGTTATTGTTGTTATTGTTGTTGTTGTTGTTGTTATTATTATTATTATTATTATTATTATTATTATTATTATTATTATTATTATTATTATTTGAATTTGTATACCGCCCTACTCCTGAAGGACTCAGGGCGGTGAACAGCCAAATAAAATACATATAATACAAATGTTAAAAAACCATTAAAATACAATTAAATAATTGGCCCAGAAAACGAAATTTAAAACACCCCAAATTCATAAGACAAATTTAAAATTGAAGAATTTTGAAAAGTTTAAAAAGTTTAAAAGAGAGGTTAGGCCAGGCCAGTCTGCTGGAAAAGAAATGTTTTGATGGCACGGCGGAAAGCGCACAGGTCCGGGATCCTCCGTATCTCCGGGGGGAGTTCGTTCCAGATGGCGGGTGCCCCCACAGAGAAGGCTCTCCCCCTGGGGGCTGCCAGTCGACATTGTTTGGCCGATGGCACCCTGAGGAGCCCCTCTCTATGGGAGCATACTGGTCGGTGAGAGGCTACTGGTGGCAGAAGGCGGTCTCGTAAATACCCTGGTCCTAAGCCATGGAGCGCTCTAAAGGTGGTAACCTAACCTTGGAAGACCACCGGGAGCCAGTGCAGCTCGCGCAGGAGGGGGGTCACATGGGAGCACCCCATCGCTCCCATAACCACCTGCGTGGCCGCATTCTGGACCAGCTGGAGCCTCCGGGTGCTCCTCAAGGGGAGCCCCATGTAGAGAGCATTGCAGTAGTCCAGGCAGGAAGTGACGAGGGCATGAGTGACCGTATTTAACGAGTCCTGATACAGAAAGGGACGCAACTGGCGAATCAGGCGAACCTGATAAAATGCCCTCCCGGCCACAGCCGTCAAGTATATGGATATACCTTGATCTATGACAATTTTCAAAACATTTTCTCCCTAACACTTGTACTTGGTAGGAGTGCATGTCAACTCCTAAATGCTACCCAGATAGTAATTAATGCATGCATTTACTCAGCTTGGTATGCCTATAACTAAAGGCTTTTAACAGTTTACAACAAAAAGCAATTTAAATGCGAGTATGAACAATTGCTAACATAGGAATTAAATAGGTAGATCAAATAAAATTCATGGTGAGAATTGACAGAATCAGCAGTTAAAAGGCTCTACGAAAAGATATGTTTTGAGGGCCACCTTTAAAGCTGATAATGAGATTAGGCCCGCTCAATGTCAGAGGGAGTCCACTCTTAAGGAGGTTTGGATCTAAACTATGGAGCAGGGGTCTCCAACCTTGGCAACTTTATGACTTGTGGACTTCAAGAATTCTGGGAGTTGAAGACTGCAAGTCGCAAAGTTGCCAAGGTTGGAGACCCCTGCTATAGAGGGCCTTCAAGATAAAGATCCAGTACTTTTGGATGGAAATGAATTGGTAGCTTTGACACCGAATGTGGGAAAGCATCTGTGGAATATTTAGAAAAAAAAGTCATAGCCAAACAAAACTATTTTATTTGTGCTGGTAGAGGGTCCCCATCCCATTTGTCAATCATTAAATGCAATACTGACAATAAAGAAAAAGTGTCATCAAAGACAGCACAATCTCTGGGGAAATGCATTCATACCAATGATTGATCATGCTATTATATTTTTAGCTGAGAAAAGAAGTTCTTAGTTTGCTTAGTTAAGGCTTTATAGGCTAACAATTGTAGTGTCTAATCCTATGATCTGATAGTTAGTCTGCTCCAGGAGTGAAATCCAGCAGGTTCTGGAGAACCGGTAGTGGAAATTTTGAGTAGTTCGGAGAACCGGCAAATACCATCTCAGCCTGGTCCCAGAGTGGGGTGGGAATGGGGATTTTGCAGTATCCTTCCCCTGGAGTGGGGTGGGAATGGAGATTTTGCAGTATCCTTCCCCTGCCATGCCCACCAAGCCACGCCCACAGAACCAGTAGTAAAAAAAATTTGGATTTCACCACTAGTCTGTATGTAGTATACAGGATAGTTCACAATTAGCATTTGCATTAATAAATTTTTCTCATGCTACTGGGCATTGCCTTGGGAAATTGATTTTAATTACAAGTATGTGTTACCATTTTGACATATGTATTTCCTCCCCCCTCTTTGCAACCCAGATTGGAAACCCGAGGCAATACTTCATGCAACGCTGATGTTTCCCTGGCTATACGGGAACTATAGTGAAAGGATTTCTTCCCTCCTAGCAATCTGCTTTAAAACCAGCTATTGATTTCTTCACAGATGGAAGCATTTCTCCAAGCTGACTTCATTTGAACTTGGACTTGGCATCAACTCAAGAAGCAATAATGAATTGGAAACTCTTTCTAGATCGGATTTTTATTCTGAGAAATTTAACTTGTATGCTGTATTGAGCTTTTCTAAAAAAAAAAAAAAAATTTTTTTTTGAACTGAATTCCTAGCCTTTGACTAGGAGAAAAAGGTGGAACTTTTCCTCCTTCCTATCTTTCTCTTTACACCCTTGGTAAGGAGGGAGGAATCTTCAGCCTCAAGATAGCTAGAATAGATTTCTGAGATCCAAGAATGAAAACAAAAGTAAATATAGAAATAACACTGAGGGTTAAGCAGTATAGCTGATGCTAAGGATTCTTGTATTATTCAAGCTTATCAAATGGCAAGAGATACCAGAATGTCTATTCTTGACCATAAGATGATGTTTTGCAGGTGGGAACATAATTTCTTAATACCATTCTTAATACCACAGAATTTTAAAGACTGAAGACTGTTTTGGTGCCACTCTATTTAAATACTGCCCTTAGTATTCTTTTTCAATGAAGATTTCTAAGATGGCTTTTGTGGTGAGACTTTGTTTCAGTTATGGTTATCTGGCTAAAATGCACTTAAGGAAATACCTTCTCCCAAAGTGCCTATCCTAACCACAAAGTAAACGCCATCTTGGCTTGCTTTGCTTATTTTTTTTCCTTCTGATGGCTGAGTCACGTGAACAAACTGGAGCCTTTATTCCCTTTAGATCTATACTCCTCTCAGATGTAGATATTGAAACTGGAACACTGCAATGTTTCTTGAAATATTTTCTGACCAAAAAAAAAAAAAGGGCTGAAGAGTAAACGCAGGACATTATCTTGAGATCCAATGTACCATTTGACCTTTATCTCCCTTATCTAAATAATTCTTGCCTTGAAGGAGACATGGGGCAATTGAGGTGCAGTTCTTATTGTGGTGCGTTTAACAAGATGAATGGTAGCTCCCCGAGAACCACTCAAATTACAGGACAATCCTTCACCTGCTCCCACCAACGGCTGCTGATACCTTTTGACCTAGTGGAATAGATCCATTCCTGGAAATATAAATGCATCTCTTTGCTTCTCTATTACAAATAGCATTTGCCACCCTGTAGGTAAAAAAAAAAATGTCCATTATATCCTGCCTCTCCTAAGACTTGCCTTTAGAAAACAGTTCTTTTCTGTATCTTTCATTTTTTCTTTTGCTTTCATCTGTTAACTTTTTGTGTGATCTGGTATGTTTCCTAACAATTTAATAAAAATTCTGTGAAACATAAATGAGTCCTGTAATGTCATTTATACTGAGTCCAAACCAGGGGTGAAATCCAGCAGGTTCTGACAGGTTCTGGAGAACCGGTAGCGGAAATTTTGAGCAGTTTGGAAAACTGGATAATACTACCTCTGGCTGGCCCCAGAGTGGGGTGGGAATGGAGATTTTGCAATATCCTTCCCCCAGGAGTGGGGAGGGAATGAGGATTTTGCAGGATCCTTCCCCTGGAATGGGGTGGGAATGGAGATTTTGCAGTATCCTTCCTCTGCCATGCCCACCAAGCCACACCATGCCCACCAAGCCACGCCCACAGAACCGATAGTAAAAAAAATGGATTTCACCACTGGTTCAAACATGAGAGACTGTGGCTTAATTGGTTTATTGAATTAAAAAACAAGAGGTTGAATTGCTTGGCATACCACACCTAAATCATGGTTTACAAATAATTGGGTTTATAAATAATCATACAATATGCTAATTCGGAAATCAAATTAATCGTATGGGTGGGTCACCATGTCTTATTAAGCCACTATCTTCAAATCTTTGACAATTCTCATTTTGCTCAACTGTGAATTTGAAGTAAATTCCAAATTACTGTAAAGATGTTTATTAGAAGCAAGAAACTCTGCATGCTTACTTAAGGGGAAAGAACAAATCTAAATATATTTAGATTTCTCCCGATCTATGCAGCTACTGTTTTTGAGAATTACAAACATTTAAAAAAATATTAATTTCCAAGTGACTTAATTTATTGATCTTTTTGGTGCTGATCTACATTTAAATATAATACAGGTAGTTCTAGACTTATGACCACAGCTCAGTCCATAATTTCTGTTGCTAAGCAAGACAGTTGTTGAGTTTTGCCCCATTTTATGACCTTTCTTGCCACAGTTGTTAAGTTAATCACTGCAGTTGTTAAGTGAATCATGCCATTAAGTGAATCTGGTGTTCCACATTGACTTTGTTTGTCGGAAGCTGGCTGGGAAAGTTACAAATGGCAATCACGTGTCCCAGGGACAGGGCAATCGTCACAAAAAACATGGCAGTTGCCATGTGACTGAATTATGATCACATGACCATGGGGATGCTGCAATCCTCATAGTGTGAAAACCACTCATAAGTCATTTCTTTTCAGTGCTCTTGTGACTTTGATCTGTCACTAAATGAATGGTTGTAAGTCTAGGACTACTTGTATACACAATGATTTTATGAAGAACCTAATTGCATAATTAACAAAATGTGGTTTAGTTTTAGGTTGTTCTTTTTTAAAACTAAGTTTATCTCAAATTTCTCCTGGCTTAAAATAGTATTTTTCAACCACTCAGATCAGGTTAAAATTTTTCTTGATTTCCCCCCTCCCCCCAGAAATTTCTAGAAAGATTGAAATGTCACACTATGTCTAAAAACAAGATTGGAAAGAATTACAGCCCACACACTGGAGTAAATGCTTCTCAATCTTAGTATGTTATCAGCAGAATTTAATTACAATCATCAGACTTCAATTGACTATCATACTTTTAAATAAACTAGTTAAGTTTTCAGTCGAACCCTCCATATGGATGTTTTATCTATTACCTGGGAACTAATCCAGTTCACAACGTATACACTTCTGAGGACCTTAAGCAATGTAAATGTTTTATTTTACATTGTTAAATATATTCAATGTCTGACAAGGTTGGAAAACTCTGGTAGTTTTGAAAATGAGTCCTGTCATGTCTGACTCTAAGAGACGGTGCTCAACTTTGTTTTCTTATCTGAGGGAACCAAAATTGTCCAAAGACATTTTTCATGGTCATGTGGCCAGCATGACTATACGCCGAGGCGCTCAGAATGCTTACCTTCCCATTGAAGTGGTACCTTTTTATCTACTCACATTTGCATGGTGCTAGGTGAGCAGGAGCTGGAACAAGTAAAGGGAACTCGCCCTGTTGCGTGGCTTTGGGTCTTGAACCCAGTCTGCCAGTTGACAAACCCAACATCTTTAACCACTGAACCATCACACCCCCAAATCTGAATATACTAGAACTCAATTATCAGAAAACTAAAAATCATGACATTTGCCAAAAGGCCCAAGAGCTATTACAGGAGCACGGATGGCCACAAGATTGAACAGGTTTCCTGTCTGAAATATCCTTCATTCTGGTGGCAGCAGGAAAACCCACAAGGACTACACTGCTGAAAATGCACAGAGGAGCACATCTGCAATCCTTAAGACAAGAGGTGGCCACTCAAGTTGCCACACTCAAGTTATTTGAAGCTAAGCCAATAGCTTTTTGCCTCTTTAGAACTTGTACAACACAAATTTCTAAAATCAGCACTTCAGGTCCCAAATTGTGCCTGTCTCTAATGATACCCTGAAACTAGAGAGAGGCTTCAGGAAAATGGAGACTAGAGTATGGGTGACCATACCACCTATTGGCCCAGACTATTCCCCCCTCCCGCCCCACCCCTGGTCTTGGTTTGCTAGCTGGGAGTTTCAATCTACATGGAAAGAGGCAATCCCTGGACTTCTTTGCAGCATAGTATATAGTCAGGCCAAAGTAAACTGTGCAGCAAGCACAGAGTGCCAATTGTATCAAGCCAGGACTCTAACCTTTATTGCCAGTGAATGTAACAGGTATTCTGCTTCCTCTATAGCATACCAAACTAATCTAGAACTCCCTCAACACAAGAGGGCCTCAATTCTGTCATGATATCATGCCATCCCCTCATCTGTCCTTGAAGGCTGATACAGGAAGATTCCCTACCCAGAGAGACGATGCCCCTGTGACTCTGGGCACACAGATACAGCAGAACATATGCTTCTTCAGTACCTGCACTATGGAAAGATTTATAGTAACCTCATCTTCCCATTACTGCATAAATGCCCAAGGCACTCAGGACAATTCTGTATCTCCTTGCTGCTTTCAAATATCAGCCCTGGTCCAACATACAGGGTTGCTAGCATCTGCACAGCAGCATTTAAAATTCATCAGACGACCTATGCCATAAACTAGACTTAATGAGCACCTACTACATCATTATAGAGCGCTCTATGATTTGATTGTCTTCCATATACTAACCTTTTACAACCTCTAATGCTCTTATCCCTTCTTTCAGATGTTTATAGACTTTTGTATATATGCTTTCTGTTTTGCTATCTTCTGGTTTTCCATTTTATGGAATATTTTATTTTTTAGCCTCCAGTATGCTTTTTAATTGAGTGTACTCCACCTGCCTTGTGCTGGTTTTGATTGTAATAAAGATTTGATTTGAGCTCTCAGTGCTGTATCTCAGTCATGGCCTCTCTCTGAAATATGAGAGGACAAGGGGCCAGTGCATTTTTAATGTTTCTCATTACAATAAAAATGAGACAAAAATTAAAGCACACTTTTTTGTGGCCAAGAGCAACTGACAGATGTAAGAGAGAAGTTAATTCAATTTTGTTGCTGGTGTTGGTGAACCCTCAGAGACATACATTTCAAGGAGAAGCTATAAATTAAGGAACAATAGCGCTAAATGTTTCTGCAGTGTAGAGTTTTTAAGGACATAATAAATAGATTGATACTGCTGTTGCTTAATACATTTTTTTTAAAAAATGCATGAAGCTGCTCTTAAAAGTCAGGTTCAGCTAGCACAGCTACTATTGGAATGCAACTAAATGAGAACAGTTTTTTTTCATCAACAAATGAATTATTCAAAGATTCCAGATAAAACTGCTAATAAGTGAAACCTGATGGAATCTAATTTAATTGAAATTTATTAATATTTATTTTATTTATTTTTTTTATTTTTATTTAATTTGATTTATATGCCGCCCTTCTCCGGAGACTCAGGGCGGCTTACAGTGCGTTAAGCAATAAGCAATAGCCTTCATACTTTTGTATATTTATACAAAGTCAGCTTATTGCCCCCACAAACTGGGTCCTCATTTCACCTACCTTAGAAAGGATGGAAGGCTGAGTCAACCTTGAGCCTTGGAGAGATTCGAACCAGCAGTAAATTGCAAGCAGCTGTGTTAATAACAGGGTGCTTTAAACCACTGTAGTACCAAAACTTCAGAGAACCAAGTGTGATGCTGTTGCAACTATCACAATAAGCAGAGAATTTGAATTCATTGGCTTTCCTAATTGACTTGTCTTGTAAGAAAATAAGCTGCCAATAGAATAACTGAATAATTGTGAAGGATAAATTTTGTGGACTTCAACATTGCCAAATTTTTACTTGTCATCCTTTCCTGAGGAAGAACCACAAGAATTGGGAGTTATCTACAATTTACCTATCCATCCATAAAGGTACATGCTTGCATGCATGCATGCACACCCACATACATACATGTAGTCCTCAAACTTTGACCACAATTGAGCCCAAAGTTTCTGTTGCTGAACGAGACAGCTATTAAGTGAATTTTGCCGATCTTTCCTGCCATAGTTGGTAAGTGAATCACTGCAGTTGTTAAGTTAGTAACACGGTTGTTAAGTGAATCTGGCTTTCCCATTGATTTTGCTTGTCAAAAGGTCACAAAAGGGGATCACATGATCCTAGGATACTGCAACCATCATAAATATGAGTCAGTTGCTAGGTGCCCAAATTCTGACCATGTGACCATGGGGATGCTGCAACACTCATAAGTGTGAAAAAACAGTCATGAATCACTTTTTTCAGTGCAGTTGTAACTTTGAATGGTCACTAAATGAACTGTTGTAAATTGTGGGTTACCTGTACTTGAGTTTCCTGTTGTTGTAAGCACAACACTCTTTTTTCCTTTTTAAAAAAGAATACTCTGTTGATTGGAAGAAGAAAGTTGTCTCTGAACAAGTAATTGGTCGATTTCCTCAATATAAGTGCATGGAACCAGTGGTGGGATTCAGCCAGTTTGCACCACTTTGGGAGAACCGGTTGTTAACTTTCTGAGCAGTTTGGCAAACTGGTTGTTGGAAGAAATCATTAGGGCAGAGAACCGGTTGTTAAATTACTTCAACCCCACCACTGCATGGAGCTCAAATGTGGTATCACCATGACTTTATTA